TAATTTGAAATATTCTGTTTTTAATGTGTTATTTGAATTTTTAGAGAATTCCTTTAAAAAAATATCGTAAGTGATGCCACAAGCTTGTTTTCGATGCATTGAAAACTTAGAAACTGATCACTTATTACCGCTCTTAAAATAATGATTTTGTCTATTTTTAATAACAATTTTCATTGTTCGAAAGCGATAGTAATATTTTTCTTTTATATTAATTACTTTTTGATTGACTAAGGTCAACTGGGTGAATTCTTAAATACAATATGTTAGATTTTCAAGATTTTAAATAATTTTCTTTTCCGTTTTCTATCACCCAGTAACTTTCGTCTTTTTATTTTTGATGTATCAAACTAAACACTTTTCACACGAAACAACAAAAAAAAAGGCAGGTGTGTTGCTTTGTATCAGGTTGTTTTTGTTGTGTTTGTAATCAAGCCCAAAGCTACACAATGGGCTATCTGTGCTCTGCCCACCACGGGTATCGAAACCATGTTTCTAGCGTTGTAAGTCCACAGACATGCCGCTGGGCCACTGGGGGGCTGTTCCTAAAGTAAAAATGTGTTACGAAAAATTTATAGTTTAAAACTAAATACAAAGTTAGTAAATATTCATTAAATAATTATTTTTCAAAAACAAACAGATCTGGTCCTTATTATCTTTTCTTAAGTTTGTTTGTTTTGTTGAATTTTGTGCAAAACTACACGAGGGCTATCTGTGTTAGCCGACCCTAATTTTGAAGTAATAGATAAGAGGGAAGGCAGATGGTCAACACCACCCACTGTCAGCTGTCGATTTACTCTAATCAAATAGTGGGACTTTACCGTTACTCTTACAACACACACTGACAACCCCAAATTACGGAGAGTGTTTTTTGTTTTAATGAAACTCTTAAGTTTTTTTTTTTAATGAATTACTTCAGCCTTAATTATCAGCATTACGTTCGTTAATAAATTAATGTACGGTCACGCAAAGAAAGATTTCAAGATTGTTTGTTCGTTGTAAGCACAAAGCTACGAAATGAGTTATCTGTCCTGTTCCAACCACAGGTATCGAAACCCTGTTTTAGCATGATAAGCCTTGAGACGTACCGCTGATCCACTGGCGAGCAAGAGTTAAAAATTCTGCAATATGTTATATTAAAAGTAAGATAATTAATAACTCGTATACATAGATATCATACTTCTTAACTATCTACACATTTAGGTTTGTTTGCTGTTGATCGCGTTTGCTGCTTTGAACACGATACCGTTTTAAACGTTTTTTTTACAACTACATTTGTTCCACGATAATTCATAGATCTTTGACCATCAACCTTCGAACTAATTGTTTTAATTATTTTATGTTGTGTGGATTTTATTACATGTAAAATTAAAACTCTTTTAGGTTCGGTTTCTATAAATTACATTTTGCTGTATTAATAAAACGAGGTTATTAAATCGTAATCAGTCTGTAACCAATGATCTTCATAAAATTGCTTGTGGTAAAAAAGGAGCAATTTAATGTAATTTTTACGAAAATAGTTTTTTTATAACAGGGTGAATAGATTAGCTAAATAATAAGCTGAGCAAAAGGTTCATCCAGATAAAAATGTTTCCCACTTTTGAAATCTTGCATAGAACTGCGTATTCTAATGTTACTATGATGTGGCCGATATCCCCAGATAATGGTTTTGTTTACTAAATTTGCTTTTAAATAACCAGCTTATATGCTATAAATTGTTGTTACAAGACACATCTGAACTGGAATATAAGACTTTTGTTTCTTCAATCTAAATGTTTTTGAAAATATATATAAACAAAGCGTATTGGAAATAAATATCAATGTTTTTTTTTGTTTTTTTCCAGATGCTACACCCATTGTTATAAAAAATGAGTCACCATGCACAAATGAAAAATTCTAATCTCCCACTTTGGGTCAATGCTACCCCCCAAAGTCCTGTTAACCGAACAACACCAAGCTTGGAAATCAACCATGAATTTATGTTGACTAAAGAAAACACTGTTGAGTCTTTGTTAGGCCTCTCCTTCAAAGAAATGCGACAAGAACTTCAGACTGTCCTTTTATTTTTAATATTTGCTGGCGGTGTCGTGATTAACAGTATGGTGTTTGTCCTATTCTACAAGAAACCAAAACTAAGAACCTTTTCGAATCGTTTTATCTTGAATCTCTCATTAACCCACCTTCTTCAAGCCGTCATAGTCATGCCTTACATCCTCGTTTCTGGAGTATTCGGAGAGTGGCCCTTTGGTGATGTGTGGTGCCAAATCAGCGGATTTTTGTTATTGTGTTTTAGTATGGAAACTGTATTTTCTTTAGTGCTTATTGCAGTGGATAGAAACTGTGCTGTGAATAGTCCACTCCACTATTCCATGACCATAACAAAGAGAAAAACAGGGATTTTCATCGCTGGGACATGGTTCCTTGCCTTTTTTATGTGCCTACCACCATTTTTCGGAATCTCAACGATCAGGTATCGTGAGTCCTGGCATGCTTGTGCCCCTGTTTGGATTAATAGTAACCACTGTATTATCGCGTATTCCATTTTGTTGATAACAGCTGGATTTGTTGTACCACTGATAAAGTTGAACTGTAGTTATTGTTCAATGTTTTTGGTTGCTAGAAGCAGCAGTGCCCGAACAAGAAAACACGTAGTTAGCGCTAGTTTGACAGAAGTCCATGTCACGGATACTCAGAAGGCCTATGCTGTCCATCTTTTAAAGAGAAAATCCTACCGAACAAGCAGCTCTTTACTTAGTCAATTCTCGATTTTTGGAAGTGAGTGGAAAGCTATCAGAACTGGATGTTTGGTTATTTTTTCGTTCATTTTATGTTGGCTGCCCCTCTTTGTAGTCGTTGGAATTGAGCCTTACATGAAGAATGAAAGCTGGATGCCAGATTACTTTTCTTCAGTTGCCATTCTTCTTCCACTGAGTGCTTCCATAATTAACCCATACCTTTACGTATTTCGCAATAGGACAACGTTTGCATACGCCAAACAACTCTTCTACTGTGGTCCGTCAAACGAAGATAGAGTTTCGCCTACAACAAGGTCCACCAGACATTACGTCCTTCGCGCTGGCATTAATTCATCCACTTTCTCTACGAGCTGGGGGAATAAAAATCACCAGATTTTAAGTGAGTGTAAAGTTCTACCCAAATATGCTTCGAAAAATTGCCAAGTCGCTGAGCATATCAATGGCAGCAATACAAATCAAACAAATACCCATCCCAACTTGAACCGTGAGGGAGACATGGTCTGTTATTCAGAAGGATTGTTGACATCTCATCAGAATCAACCACTGCAAAGAACCTATTCAGGTAGCTATTATTCAATCTCTCCACTGTCATCTGAGCACGTCTTTGCATTTAATCTCAGACCTCGCTTGGATCGTGGATCCAGTAGTAGCGAGACTGTTGACACCGGAAAGTCTTCCATCGACACTAATGAAGACAACCTCAGCCTACTTAACAAACGATTGATTCCGAGAAGAAACACGTGCGCTGCTGTTATCATGAGCGACGCGTTTAATGGCAAATATCATACCACGCTAGAAAACGTTAGCTCACGCTCCTTAGCAGAGGATGAAAACGAAATGATCAAGACGTCTTCTTACACGTCTAAACGTATTTGTCAGAGGCGGAAGTCTCTACCACCACGACGATTTGTTTATTACAGGTCCACTCAAAGTACGCTAGCATCTGTGTTCTCAACAGACTCTCAAAACTTCAACATCCCTGTTATACCAACTTTTATTTCTAAAAGTGAAGAAGAAGCGATTTTTAATCGACAACACAGGGTTACGGTTTTCCAGAACGTGCGTCGAAATTATGAAGCTAACGTTTAATTGGACAACAGTGGCAACGCCTGCTGTTTGATCTTCGATAACAAACAAGCAAAAAATACGAACTTCACTCATCAAATGAAGCTGTGTTATATTTAAGTCTTAAACTCCGTGTTTTTTTTATTATTTTAGTTCGCTTTAAAAATGGCATTTTGTACTTTGTGGTTATTCTAATATTTTGTAAAAAAATGTTTTGTCCATAGTACATCACATTTTGAAAATAAACTAATCATTTATGATATCGAAAAGAGTGTCCTGAAAAATCGTGTATATGGCGCCCGCCATTTTGCTTTATGTTTACAACTACGTACAAATATAATTTTTGCATTGGTTCGGATAAGAGCCTATCAGAAATTCCTCTTGTGATTTGCTTATGTTATAAGTACGTGATTGGTTTCCAAAACAGTGTCTAAAAAGTTCATATATTTTTTTTTTTTATGGAGTTAAAAATAACTGCTTACTTTAATTTCTGTAAAATTGTATTATTTATTAAAGTAGCTAAAACCCATGTTGAAAGTTAATGTAATTTTTTGTTTATTGTTTATCATGCATCTTTACCAGCAAAAATATCAACTAACGGGTCTGTTCTTCAAATGTTTCGTGTTTTAAACCTTAAAAATAATTTTCTGATACTGTTCTTAACATGTAAGGCGTCTTACAGAATACGTTTTTGTTTTATTACGTAATTGTATGACGGTGTGGATATATATATTTATTTATTTTTAGATAAAAACTACTTTTGTGTTTTTTTAATACTTGTTTTTTTTATTACTATTATTTTTAATTGTATAACCCCTTTATGTTTTATCTATATGTATAAAAATGAAGAAATGTTCCTTAGTATAATGTTGGTACTTTCATCAAGATTTATTTTTAGCTTTACACATTAATCTTGTGCTGTTCATAATGGATTGTCAACATTTTCACTGTAATAAGCTGTTTGTTAACTCTCTAGCAAGTCTAGGGTTTGTTTTTTTGACGAGAGATCGATTTGTTATAAATATACATTTATGATACCTAAAATTCAGCTGTATATATAGTGTTGTTGTTGTAAATAAATATTTTGGGATTATATTGAAATATTTGTTAGTGTCAACCGTTATGTCTTAAACTGGTAAATAATCTTTCAAATAATTATATAACAATTTTAAACCATTTCCTAAACAAAGATCATTTGACCATATTAGTCTGAAGTGTAAAAACACTTTAATATATACTGGGGGGGGGGGAACTTTCCCTAAATTGACCTGGGCCGGCGTGGCACAGTGGTTAACGAGTCGGGTTACGAATCGAAAGTTCGATACGTGATGCTGCTAAACATGGTTTGCACTTTCAGCTATGGGTGCATTATAGAAGTGGCAACCAATAACGCTGTTCTGTTCAAAAAACTGAATTAAGTTCTAGTAACGATGAGAGCTACAGCCTGGCTGCCTTTCCTCTAATGAATAGTTCAGAATTAAGGATGGCTATAACTGAACCCAGGGGCTCCTGACGAGGTCGTATAGCTCACATGTGCGTAAGGTAAAGCTGAAAGAGCCAATTCCATTTTATAAACAGACTACCTTAGCTACAACTGAAGCACAAATTGGATTAAACACTGATTAGGATAATCATAATTTGTAACTTAACTGACTACCTTAGCTACAACTGAAGCACAAATTGGATTAAACATTGATTAGGACAATCATAATTTGTAACTTAACTGACTACTTTAGCTACAACTGAAGCACAAATTGGATTAAACATTGATTAGGATAATCATAATTTGTAACTTAACTGACTACCTTAGCTACAACTGAAGCTCAAATTAGATTAAACATTGATTAAAATAATCATAATTTGTAACTCAGTTACAAAATTACGCCATTTTACCTTTTTATTAAATATCTGGCCACGTCTATGAATGTGTAAGATTTTTTCACGTGTATATATTAAATCCAACACAAAACTCTTGTTACACGTGCGAAATGTGAAGGAAGGACTCAGTCAGCAAGATGTTACGACAATATTTTGATGTAACTTTAAATTTAATTTGCGGTTGCGTGATTGAAATCGTGACAACATTCTCGCCTTTTTAACCATAGGGAATTATAATGTGACGGTCAACCAGGCTACTCATTGGTAAAGATTATGTCAAAAGTTAGTGGTCAGTGGCATTGACAAATTGCCTTCCCACTGGTGTATCATTTCAAAATTAGGGATGGTTAGCATAGGTAGCTCTCAAGTGAATCTGCGCAAAATTCAACAAGCAAATTGGACTTAACTTGAAAGATATAACGTACTAAGCATTTTCTTCTTGAAAATTATATATATATATTTAAAGTAATAAATATACAATTTACAAATGTACACGATTTTTATTTACAATGATAATCATCCTACATGAACAATAGTTGCAAGCCATTAAAAATAAACACATGACTAAAAATTGAAAAGTAACAGAAGGAAGAGTTCCATATCGGATCGCCATCCTCACAATAAAAAAATTGAGACGCAATAAGGAAGAAACAAATCACGGGTAAGTTAACTACTTAAGTAAAATTATGGTGAAAATAAAAAAAGGAGTCTACCACAACAATTATAACATGAAACTACGTCCCGTAACGGAACTCTGGCATATCGGGACACGACCCAAAAAATAAACAACCACAACAATTATAATATAACATGAAACTACGTCCCGTAACGGAACTGTGGCATATCGGAACACGAGTCAAAAAATAAACAACCACAACAATTATAATATGACATGAAACTACGTCCCACGACGGAACTCTGGCATATCGAGACATAACCCAAAATGGAAACAACAACAACAATTATGATATAACATGAAACTACATCACGATACGGAACTCTGGCACATCGGGACACGATTCTAACATAAAAATACCTCCAAAATCAGAAACACAAAGGTGAATATAACATAAATGAATTAGCCACAAAAATTACAAAAGAAGTTCCGATACATAACTCTTTCTGTAATGACTAGTAATGAAGCTTTTATACGCGTATAAAAATTCTTAAGACATGATTGTAGTTAAAGATATCATAGTAAGTATCCAAAATGCACGTGAAAACGTAGACAATTCCTATTATTATGAGGATATTTTCAATATATACCTAAGGATATTCATCGATATAATAAAACATGTATGAGATATTGGAACGAAGAAGATAAGTAAAAATATTTTAGATTTGCTTTAAATACGGCGCTACAAAGTTTCTTGCATCGATTTGGTATTTTGTTATAAACATTCTAGAGGAACAATAAAGTTTCAAGTAAAGTTAATACCTAGTAGAGTTTTGGTTTAAATGTTTCTAGGGTACGGCAATGTTTTGCCTTCTATACTGAGGCTCGGTTTTGTTGTTGTTTAGCGCAAAGCTACAAAATTGGCCATCTGTGCTCTGCCCACCACGGTTATCACAACCAGATTTTTCAGCGTCGTAAGCCTGAAGGGCTCGCTTTTGTTGTTGTTTAGCGCAAAGCTACAAAATTGGTCATCTGTGCTCTGCCCACCATGGTTATCACAACCAGATTTTTCAGCGTCATAAGCCTGAAGACTTGTCATTGAGCCACTGGAGGGCTAAACTTATTCTGTATAGTGACGTAGTCGCGTTCTAGAAGGCAGCATCAGTTCTTTCAAGCTAAACCTTTACCATGTGTACACGACCTAAATTACCATTGAAAGAACAGTTAGCGCCTTTTTAAACAAATTTCAAAAAAGTCAAGGATAAAAGATTTAATACGTACATCTTGCAATTTTACATTGTTACATCTATAATTTTCAATCTAGGATCAGTTACGTATTCGTTACCCTAATGGCTAACACGACACTTATCTCCTGCTCTAGAAAAGTCATTATTATTATTATTATCCCAAATACTAAATAATACTGATTTCGTTAGAAAAACAACAACAAAAAACTCTAACCTAAATGAAGGAAAGGTGATCAGTTTTGGTTTGGTGAGTTCATTATTCATAAATATACCAACTGTCAAAACAATATACTTTCTAAACTGAAAACTACCTGAACTCAACGTTCCGCTTCCTGTGCCTGTCCATAATTTTATCTCCCTAGTGGAAGTATGTGTTGAAGGTAGCTTATTCATATGCAAGGGCAATAATTACAGACAAAAATTTGGGCAGTCCTTTATCTCTAATTCTATGTATTATTTCAATGGAGTATTTTGAAACTGAATTACTTTCTATAGTGGATCTAAGTCCAAAGGAAAAACCCCTGATTCCGATATGTAGACGATATATTTCCTGTTTAATCAATTAATAGAAATCATTTTCATGTCTTTTTTCTAGAAGATTAACAAGCTTCACATTACTGTTAAGTTTAAAGTGGAATGGGAATCCAATAAGGCACTCCAATTGCTCAGAAGTAGAGCAGAAACAGGACCTGTTCTTATACCAAACTTAATCAGAAGTAGAGCAGAAACAGGACCTGTTCTTATACCAAACCTAATCAGAAGTAGAGCAGAAACAGGACCTGTTCTTATACCAAACCTAATCAGAAGTAGAGCAGAAACAGGACCTGTTCTTATACCAAACCTAATCAGAACTAGGGCAGAAATAGGACCTGTTCTTATACCAAACCTAATCAGAACTAGAGCAGAAATAGGACCTGTTCTTATACAAAACCAATCAGAACTAGAGCAGAAATAGGACCTGTTCTTATACAAAACCAATCAGAACTAGAGCAGAAATAGGACCTGTTCTTATACAAAACCAATCAGAACTAGAGCAGAAAGAGGACCTGTTCTTATACAAAACCAATCAGAACTAGAGCAGAAAGAGGACCTGTTCTTATGCAAAACCAATCATAAAGACAATATTTTTGAGAAATAACAACCAGCAATATCTATATATGAAATTAAAAATGCTTAACATCAACTACAATTCTAATACAATAGCTTTAATAAAATGTCTAAAATACAATAAGTTTAAAGCTGTTTATAAACATCCTAAAACCATAAAACCTTTCTTACCCTTGAACAAGTCTACATCATCTTGATAAAGAATAGGATATATACAGTACCTTGTCGATCTTGTGAAAAAAGTTTATGTTGGTGAAGCGGAAACAAAATTTAGATATAAGACATGCGCAGAACACAAAAAGGGTGCATAAAATGGTTAAACAAATAATGCTGTTTTCTTTTTACATTTGAGAAATCTTGATCGTCAGATCAACAGGAAATCAACCAAATTAATACATAAAACAAGAAATTATGTGAAAACAAGAACTGTGGAAAATTCACTAATCCAAAAATTCCTAAACTTTAGCAATTCTGAGGTCACTTTAAGTTGAAATCCCTTCTGACGACTCATGTTTTGAGTCAACTTGGAACTTTTTTATAATAAGGTTACATAATATAAATATTATATAATAAGCTATGTGTAGGTTCCTTTCATAAACAAAAGTTGTACTGAAGAGGACACACGAAAATGTCAAACTTGTATCTAAATAAACTTGTTGTTTCCTAACAGTGGATCTAAGCTTTATTTTTGATTATTTTTACATGTGTATTTACTCATTATTAGAATATATATAATGCTAGTATATTCACAAACAGAAGTTGTACTGAAGAGAACACACGAAAATGTCAAAACTTGTTGTTTCCTAACAGTGGATCTAAGCTTTATTTTTAATTATTTTACACTTGTATTTACTCATTATTAGAGTATATATAATGCTAGTATATGTCCATAAGTAATCACACCGTACTTACAAGATTTTCAAGCTTTGCTACTCAACTTGAGTTGAATAAATTACACATATTCAAATTACTTCTGCTCAAACTATGTATATATATATATATATAAATATATAAATTCGAAATTTTTTCTCAACCGAGAAAACTTCTGAGAAATGTAGATTTTTGATTTTCCGAATATCGGCTCATTTCAACCAATTATGAGAAATGTATGAATTTCTTAGATAAATAGTTTTGTCGTATTTTGCTCACATTCTGTAGGTTTTACATTTAGTTGTTAAAATCTGTGATAAATGTTCTCAGAAGGTTTTGAATAGTCTCGGTAGCAGCATTTGCGCTATCGGGAGCACTTATTCATTTAGCGCGTGTGTGTGTGTGGGAGGGAGAGATTTTGGAAAAGTCAACCGAAATCAATTAATTAATTCGTGTTCATTACTATTACACGTAACGCTACATGAATTAATAAATGTAATGGTAGCGCATTATAATGAAACATTAACACGAAAGTAGTTTTCCCGGATGTTTGTTAAGTATTATTATTAAGACATTAGAAAGTTTTACGTCTGAGCTAGTTATTATTATTACTCTGTTTAGCTTTATATGTATTTTATTTGTTTGTTTTTTAGTCGTATTTGTCATAGACCTTTTTTATATCAGTTTGGAATCCGAAACTTGGGGACACAGAATCTAAGCTGGATTGATAGCTCCCATCATGGTTCCGGCCCTGATTTCAAAAGACAACAAATGAATTTTTTTTAGAAACATGTTTTATAAAGAGCTTCTCGTTAGTTGTCTAAACTACCAGTTAAACAGTTCTCATTTTAAGATGTTTTTTTTTCTTTCTTAATCATAGAGATTTAGATAAACTGCTGTCGGGTTTCTTCACGGTACCGTTATGGACTCGTGAAACCGGCTTATGACGGATAAAGTCATTCATCACCGTGTATGCACCTTTGTCACGTATATGCTTATTATACGACTTCACTGATACACGAGGCTTAATTATTCGAGCTGAATAGCCGTTCTTGTCCCATACTATAATACGTGTACGGCTAATGAAAATACTCACGCAACAGCCAGGGAACTGCAATGAATTCTGTCATTCATGTTTTAACATGTAGTTGTATCCCACTATATCGTCTCTCGGAAATGACTTACAACAAATCCCACGCAGATGATTAGAAATCCGTCGGATTACCGTGGTGTAGGTAGCTGTTCCAAGCATCAGTCATGACATTAAACTTCGGACATCTCTTTAACTAGAAATGGTTTAAATGAGTTTGTAATGATTTACTCAATTTTGTCTTCCGAATATTGGCATGGAGATATCATAGACACTATTATATGTAGGTTAAAGAATTACTGGCCCGGAGTGACCAGGTGGTTAGGGCGCGCTTGACTCGTAATCTGAGGGTTGCGATTTCGAATCCCTGTCCCACGAAACATGATCGCCCTTTCAGCCGTGGAGGCGTTATTATGTGACGGTCAATCCCAATATTTGTTGGTAAAATAGTAGCCCAAGAGTTGGCGGTGGGTGGTGATGACTAGCTGCCTTCCCTCTAGTCTTACACTGCTAAATTAGGGACGGCTAGCGCAGATAGCCCTCGTGTAGCTTTGCGCGAAATTCAAAACAAACAAACAAACAGATAATATTGCGAAATTAATAACCCTATATTTGTTCTTTGAAGTCTTGAACTGGTGTAAGAACGCAATAAGGAAATGAAATGATTTTATCTTAACTTCACACATAATCATATTTGAAAAATACTCTAACAATTTTACCAAATTACCAAGTTTTAATATAAACATTTTATATGCTCATTTTACAGTTATCATAGAGGCTCCAGACGCAATGTTTTAGTGCTGAGATCGAAACGTCATTTACTCCTATGAACACAAGGCAGATGAAGTCCAAAAATCACTTCAAATCCAATATTTTAAATAGTTTATATTCGCGTTTTAGTTCTTCGATTTTCAAATAAGCTGTTTCATTCCACAGATTACGTTTAAACCCTCATTTTATGTTAAATAGTGGTAGAAAAGCAATATATTTAGTACGTACTGATTGTGTTTGCTCGTTTACTAGTTTAACGGTTTTTATCATACCAGTAGATCCGATAACATTTCAGGAACGATATCACATAAAAAAGATCGATTGAAGTGTGTGAATTTTGGGAGCTTTCTATATTTAGTTCTGTTTCTCAAAAACATAGAAGAATACATTGTTTATATTTCGATCTCCGTTTTGATCTACTGAGGTATATTTCTAATAATAATCATATGTTTTATTATCTTTTAATATACGACTTTTTTATGTCTCTCAGGGTTTGCTGAGTTCTTCAAAAGAATTTTTTTTGCAAAAGATCGAACGAGTCTTGTTTTTAAAATATCCACCACTAAAAGAAGCACATTATTGGATTAGTCATGTATGTATTAAAACACAAATAAATCCCTCCACGTACCCTATTATCTTCTTTTCTATCAGCATATTTTAAAACAGAGTACAATGTATTTATAGATTTATCTCAGAGGGAGATACGAGACGACAGCTTTCACTTACGTTTATAATCCAACCGCTTGTGCCTAACAATCATTTGACGCATACGGGGTTTTTCATCATGTATACATTCAATAAAATAATTTTCATGGTGTTTTAGCGTGCAGTATCAAGCGCAGATGTTCAACATTTGTTTTCTGTTTTCCATCAACTTTCCTCAAAATATATGTCTGAGTAAAGTAAGTTAGTTTTCAATTGTTAAATTAACGATAATAGAAAGCAAAAATCGGACATGTTCGTTATGTCAGTGTTTCAGTAGTCAAACTCATCGTTTTTTTTTCTCTTTAAATTGCATGGAATTTTATTGACAAATGTTGATCAACTTTAACATATTTAAGTGCAAAGCTGTCAATTTCTCTGTTGGAAAATGTTATATTTGAGAGGTTTTATCCTGATGAATACAAGGACCACAAAAAATGTTTTCCGATTGACCTAAACAAACAAATACTCCCAACATTTGATATTTCTCTAAGCACCTGCATTTATATGTTTTAGATAATCCAGTGTGCATTAATCTTGCTCCCAGTGGCTTATAACGTTAAAAAAATGGTTTTCGATAGTTGTTGTGGGCACAGCAAAGATAGCCCATTAGATAGCGTTGCGCTTAATACCAAACAAAAGCATTAATCATATAAACAAATAGTTTAGTTATTACCTGAGTAAATGTCTCATAAATGCTTTGTTTTCTATTCTTCTTTGGCGTTGCCTAACAGCTTGTATGAAGGTCTGTGAACTTGAGGGTCCATGGTTCGTATCCCTTTGTCGCAAAATCGCATTCTGCACTTTGGGGTCGTGAAGGTTTTATAACAGAGATGGTTGATTCTCACCATTCGATTAGAATATCTAAAGAGTTGGCATTGGGTGCTGTTGATTAGCTGCATTCTGTCGAGCCTATCAGTTCAAAATTAAGGATAGATAGTGCTGATAGCCCTTGTATATCTTTTTTTGCAAATATCCGTAACACACACGAAAATTATACATGATTTATCTTATGCATATCTCCGGTAAGTCCAACGATTTTTAGATCAAAACACACTTCACAAAAAGTTAACGCTTTCTGGTGAAAATAAAAACAATGAAATATTAGCTGATAGCTTAATCAGATTAATCTTTTCAATCATATTAAAAGTTCCCTCGTTCTTCAGGATCTGTTAAAATAACTCTACATTATTTTTTAACTGCAACAAGTATACCCATTCTCTGGGACAGAGATACACAACTAAGTAAAGGTTGCTACTGTTAAAGATAAGTTCACTGAGACAAACATAGATACATAACTAAGTTAAAAGCTGCTATTATCATATGCAGTTTCTTTTAACACACACTTACAGTCTCTTTTAACACACTTACAATCTCTTTTAACACACCCTTACAATCTCTTTTAACACACTTACAATCTCTTTTAACACACCCTTACAATCTCTTTTAACACACAATCTCTTTTAACACACTTACAATCTCTTTTAACACACCCTTACAATCTCTTTTAACACACAATCTCTTTTAACACACCCTTACAATCTCTTTTAACACACTTACAATCTCTTTTAACACACCCTTACAATCTCTTTTAACACACTTACAATCTCTTTTAACACACAATTACAATCTCTTTTAACACACACCTACTGCGATCTAGTTTTCTGGAGTTGACCTTTCTGCATCAACATAATAAGGTTATCTTGGACATATGTACATAAACAAGTAATTTTTTTAACGCTATAAATTGTTTAACGCTATACAGACGATCTAATCAGCACTATATAACAATGATGAAAGCTATAATTAAAATCCAAACCTAGAGATGTCTATTATGAGATTCTAACGTACAAAAAAAAATATTTCACATAAAACTGTCCATTGCCAGCCCTTATCATTCTTCATTAACTCATAATGGAAAATGTTTATGGTTACAGCACCCAAAAGCGTTGGGGATGTCCCATCTATCATACATGATCCGAATGAAAATATCAAAATAGGTTAGCCGTTACGGAAGATCAGATTAGGGGTTAGAAGTTGGGTTTTTTGACATAAAAGTTTCAATTCCCACTGCATTCCTCTGTCCGCAGCCAGTTGTAGAAAGAAAATAATACCTAATATTTGACATAAAAGGCAGTTGTTAAAATAATCTTATATATATTTAATATGTTTTTGTAAGGGTGGAGGTATGGGAGTTTAATTACTAGAAATATTAGGGTGACTTTAGTTCTATTTAATATGTTTTTGTAAGGGTGGAGATGGGAGTTTAATTACTAGAAATATTAGGGTGGCTTTAGTTCTATTTAATATATTTTGTAAGGGTGGAGTTGGGAGTTTAATTAGTAGAAATATTAGGGTGGCTTTAGTTCTATTTAATATTTTTTTGTAAAGGTGGAGTTGGGAGTTCAATTTGTAGAAATATTAGAGTGGCTTTATTTCAATTGATTTCTACTTTAAGAAATTTAAGAGTAACTGCCTTCCCACAACCGGCTATAGACAGTGAAAGGCAGTAGAAGCTGAGACGTTGTGGGTGTAAGCACTCAACTTTGTACTCTTATTTAGTTGATTTTTTTATGGTTTTCCATGACGTCTGACTAGACTGACATCGGCGTTTGGATTTTCTCTAATAGATGAGATAATATCACCAACGCATTTGGGTGCTATTACCTCAGACATTAACTGTTATGAAAATACGTTGACATCCAGGACCGATAACGGTATTGCGATATTTAATTCATTATTGTTTTATAGTATTGATTTAATCGCCTATTAACAATTAATGTAATCAATAGTTTGTAAGTTATATATATATCCTACCTAAAATGGTAAAATACACTAAAAAAGTAAATAAAAGGTAAAATCTTAAACAAGATACCAGTTTAAATTATATATCAAAAATAAATAAAACTTTTTGCGTGTAAAAACATGTCCATAAAAATACCAGATTCTACTGTCATTAGCTTTATTTACTGATTTTCTACATTAAAAAAATACAAGCGATATATACCGCTAATACAACTTAATATATCGTCACGTCCAATAAGCCTTGAAATGGATTCATCAGTCTAAAGAATTTTTTAGTGATTTTATCTAGAGGTTGCCTCTTGTTTGTTTGTTGTTACACGCAAAGCTCTGGCCACCGACGGTATCGAACCCTGAATTTTAGGTTAATAAAATAATAAAAATAATATCTATATTAAAACAACTTTTATATTGCGAACATTAAGTTTCAGGGTAATTCTAAGTCCAGTTTTCTATTTTTATCAATTTTAAAACTCAACTTTAAAACAAATGCTACAAGTTAAAAATGTTTTTGTAGCACATTATTTTCTACTTACTGAAATTACTGCTATTTTAGTCTCTGGCGTTTTTCCTAAGAAAAGCTCTAACAAAATAATTTAATTTTTATGTGGAAAACTTCCAATACCCTTCACAGATGTTCTAAGAAAAGCGATAGAAGAGCAATCAGGAATGCAGTGAAACCTACATTCTGTAATTTATGTTCGAATTAAAGGAATTGACGTGAACGTTTCGCTGTCTCGTATTTTGCTTAAGTATGTACTTCGAGAATTCTTCGGAAATAACATTAAAAGATTTAATTAGGCAAAAAGTGGCACAACATATGTTATATTTCTTACCATAAAAGTCCCCATTTTTTATGAATATCTTTCTATTTATTTATTTATTATCATATTTATTTGAGAGCCTAACATTTTTACACAAGGTTTCAGATTTGATGCTGCTGAAAACATTCCATACTTACAGTTCTAGGCGTTTTATAAACGTGACAGACGAACCCGTTTTTCAGTTCAAAGAGTCGGACAAAGTTCTTGTGGAGAAGTGTGCAGTTCTTCTGATCAATGATTCGAAATTAGGGATATCTAAGCCTGAACGAAGCATGGTGTTTAGATTAGTTTCACAGAAAGATATGAGGTTGAGAATGCCAATTATCTTTTCTTTTCTTTTTTTGTAGAAATCCGAACAAGTTTCGTCATTTTAAGCATATATACTTCAATAATCCAATCGCAGCGATTGTTGCCAATCTAAATTGTTAATATTTGCAAAACTTTGCTTAAAGTTAGAGAAGTATGAGCCAAGGACTTTTGGAGTCTTTTATTTTTTCTGATTAAAGGAGACCCGGCATGGCCAGGTGGTTAGGGTGCTCGACTCGCAATCTGCGGGTCGCGGGTTCGAATCCCCGTCCCACCAAACATGCTCGCCCTTTCAGCCGCGGGGGCGTTATTATGTTACGGCCAATCCCAATATTCGTTGGTAAAAGAGTAGCCAAAGAGTTGACGGTGGGTGGTGATGACTAGCTGCCTTTCCTCTAGTCTTACACTGCTAAATTAGGGACGGCTAGCGCAGATAGCCCTCGTGTAGCTTTGCGCGAAATTCAAAACTAAAAAAACAAAAACAAAAAAAACAAATTAAAGGTATTAGTTTAGTCAGTATATTAACTGGCAAAGAAATTATTTCAGTTCTAGATCTTCAGCAAAAATTTGGGAAATGCAAGAGTTTGTTTCCTACTCATTTAAACATTTGAGGATTATTTGAGGATACACCATTATGCCATTGTTTTTAAACGGGGAGTTTTATAAATTTGACGTCTACAACATTAGAACTTTCCTAAAGTCAAGTTTTCCGGTGCAACAGCGGAAAGTTTATGGTATGTTTGTAGTTAAGCACAAAGCTATACAATGGACTATCTGTGCTCTGCCAACCACCGGTATCTAAACCCTGTTTCTAGCGTTGTAAGTCCGCAGACATACCGCTGTGCCAATGGGGAGGGGAGGCGTAAATTTATGGATTTACAACGCTAAAATCCGTAGTTCAGTTCCTCGCGGTGGACAGAGCAGTTAGTCCAATATGGCCTTGCTCTCAAACAAACAAACTTAAAATCAAATTAGGCTTAATATCATTGATAACAAATCTTATTTAAAAAGACCAATGAGGAGGATGATCTACCGACTACTGTAATTCTTTTATTTTATTTCTAAACAAAGTTGTCTCCAGAAATTCATATTAATGTTGTTCAACTCATACTTAATGCGCTAGTATACGCTACGAAGCAATGTAAATTAATTGATTTTTAACAACTACAATTATGTAACTTTTTTAGTAGTCATTCAATAGAGGAAGAAAAATACATATATTGAATCCACAAATGTGACAAAAAAACTCTTAATGTTAAAAAAAAACACTTAACACTTAATCGAGGAACATCAATAGAGCACATTATAGAGTAGGACACAGTACACCAGTGGTTCCCAAACTCTTTTAGTGTGAGGCTTCCTTGATGTGAATAAAAACGTTTTAGGCCCCCCAACCTATAACTTTAGCATGGTGATTGAAAAACAGAGTGAAAACAACAACATCTCCTTTCGACATACTGCATCATTTAATTAATTCAATAAATTTTTTATTGACTTATTGTATATTTAGAATTAAAATAAATTCAGCATCTTTGCTTTCGACCCATGTTTTTGGTGGCTCCCCAGAGAAAGCTTCACGGCCCCCCAGGGGGCCACGGATCTCACTTTGGGAAACACTGCAGTTCACCACAAAGTCAGATCTCCTCTCTCACCCTTCAGCTTGGTTCTGTGTTAGTGTTGTATTATTGAGATTCGATATTATAAGTTTATAGCAAAAAATGTAAGATTTTTTTAGAAATCGTGTCAAACAAATCTCTATGAAAAGAAGTTGATCCGTTCCAAAACACTGACAAAGATTTCTTACTCCGATTCAACCGTTTTCTCTTATCAATGAAGAAATAACAATATGAAATTCTATTACTAAATCTATTTAACGATTTTATTTTTCTTGTTCTTCTTTTTTTAAAGCTAATTTATCGTGCTTCACAGATTTCAGTTGAAACATATGCAAGTAAACTAAAATACAATAAATAATATCAA